TGCCCCATTTTCGTATAAGCTGAAGTTACTACTGTGTCATCAGAGGTCACTTCAGAAGGGCTAATCCCTGCAGGTTATTGCCGGGCAATTCGGGAGTTACTTTTTTATTATCTGACAGTGACCGGCCCAAAGCCATAGTTGATCACCCCAGAGTGGGTTTTAAAGGAGGCCAGTGATTGTTTGTTAAGAACTACAAGTGCTTCAATGAATTCAGTTATAAGTAGGCAGGTCAGTATTGATCGTTTTGAGGAGTGAGAGTATTTCATCTAGTGAGATTAGCTCCAAAGGTAACCAAACTTTGGAGTGCGGGCTTGTGGAATATTTTCTAAAGCGACAGCTTTGAGTTGTGTGCCAGGCCAGAGTGCCTTAACCTTTTCGATTGTCTCTTTTTAAAAATCCGCGGAGCGTTGATCAGAACAGGCGATTCTCTTGATGTGATCCTGGTACTAGCCAGCGTTTCGACAGCAACGTGAAGGGCCAGGATGGAGAGCGATGCTCTCTATATAGATTTCTTTTGCTTACACAATTAAAAAAACTCTTGAACTGTTTTTGTGATATTTTGTTTGTTTTGGTGATATTGTAACTGGACGAGTAACTAGAGGTCGTGTGTTTTCTTGTCTCTTCTCTGTAACGTAGTGATGAACAAACTATTATTAAAGCTAAGAATGACTAGCTGCGAAACTACTACGAAAAATATGGTACAACTCCAAGTGACATTTTACAAAATAGTCTTAATATTCTAGACAATAAATTGACAATAAATAATAAAATGAGCCTTTGCATGGGGTTCTTATTCATTCTTAAGATGTTTTTAAGATATAATATTGTTTTGAACAGAAAGTATAGTTGAAAGCAAAATAATTTCGAGCGCCCTAAGAAAGCTAATAGTGTGCTTTTTCTATGTCAAAATGCTATCGGGAAAAAGATTGAGCGTTTAACTATGCGTAATTCAATTAATGTACTTAATTTCGAAAGGCCTATATTTTTGTATGTTCTCACAGTATAATTATTATTAGGCTATGAATGCACCAAGATCTATTGTGCACCTATGGGCCGAATTGAAACAATTCTACAATTCCTATAAATCTCGTAATTACTGTGGGCTTAATTTTATCTATTTCATTTGGGACTAAGATCCCGCTTCCAAGATAGTCAAGTCTACGTCTTGTCGCCGCTGGGCAGTTACATAGAATATGGTCTGATGTTTTCTTCTTCTCATGACATAGTCGACAGGAATCACTTTCTACTGCACCTATATTCTTCATGTGGTGATTGAGTCTACAGTATCCTGTAAGAAGTTAAATGAAGATTTTAATATCGTTTCTGCTAACGGTAACGATAGCGTCAACTTTAATGTGTTCAGGATCAATGAATCTTCTTGACTGCCTCATGTCTATTTGGGCTCTCCAGTGTTCAAATAGATTTTGTTTCACCCGTTTATATATCAAGTTTCATATCAGGTTTTTTGGAAGTTATTTGTTACCCCGCAGAAATGCTCTGTACCAATGAAATAAGCACATGCACCCTTCTTTGGTAGCGTCTTCATGTCCTGGTACACACATAAAAGTAACATAGTTCCTCTATGTTAGGGTACTGAAAATTTGAATGCATTACCAGATCAACTTTGATTGGAATGAGAAATTTGTTAAAAATTTTCGACCTGCTTGGTTGTCTGAAAGAATGCATATTTCAGTACATCGGGTTGCCTGCGTAAGTAGTCTCTCGCATAAAGCTATAAGGCATGGACCTCTGCCTGAAAAATGGAAGCGGTTTTTCCTATTGCGATTGCTTTGCAGAATTTCGATCCAATAATTCCTGCACTTGCACTACCATCTTTTACCTTGGACCCATCAGTATACCATTATTTTAAATCATTTTTTATAATAATTTCATTATATTCCCAAGTTGATCAGTCACAGATGACCATTCCAACCCGTAGGGAAAGCTTAACTTCTATTCATCTTATCAAAGACTTTAAGGCATGAAGAGTTCCAGACTTCATCCAGAATCTTTGCATGCTCTGTTAGATTGGCCTTTTTAAAATTACAAAAATGATGAAACCTTAGTGCGGCACTGGTGGCAGTGGTGTAATGGAGTGACTCCAGTAAGCATTGTTAAGGCTTTTATGGGGCACGTTCCGATTGCTCTCATTACGCGTAGGCAAACTGTTCGATAAATCTTGTTAAGGATCATTTTAGCCTTTGTCTGATTTATCTTTGGCCACCATGCCAAGGAAGCATAGGTAATCATTGGCACTACTACCACCAATGTCCGCCAAGTCATCATTTTTGGTCGCAAACTTCATGTTTTACCATACAGTCTTTGGCACGCATATGTTGCTCTTAGGGCTTTGCCAGTTATATATGATAAATGGTTTTTTCAAGTCAGAGTTTTATTTGGAATTAGTTCTAGATATTTCATTGCCTCGAATAATATTAAGTCGGTGTTCCTAGCTTTAGGGTCCCTAGACTCATCTTCTTTCTTCTGGTAAAGGGTACCACGTTTGTTTTATTCAAACAAATCAAGAATGAGACAAAGCTTAAGTGTGTCAAAAGCTAGTTGCATCCGATCGATTATGGTGGAGTCCAATTTTCCTCTGACTATGATAATCATATCATCTGCAAACCTCGAAACTTCATATCAGAGGTCAGCAAGAGTCTGTAAGAGCTCGTCATTGACCAATAGCCATAAGAGTGGCGATAGAAAGCATCCTTTAGTTGACTTGAGAGTTAATCTCTTTGCCCCCGTTTCAAATATTATCGTACTAGAGGCCCCATTTTGGTGTAGGTGACCTATTTAGTTTTATTGACTGTAAAGATTATATAAGCCAGTAAGAGTCTCTTTGTGTAGCCACCAAGAAACGAGTATC